TAAGGAAGCTGCAAGTTAACATCTGTCTCTCAGCATCAGCTCATCCGAGGTCTGACCCGAGAAACATCAATTAATGAGATTATAAGTAGTGTTTTTTTCTGTTTAGTAAATATTGACGCTGGAGTGATGTATATGTGTGCCAGACTGTTCTCTCTCTCTCTCTCTCTCTCTCTCTCTCTCTCTCTCTCTCTCTCTCTCTCTCTCTCTCTCTCTCTCTCTGTCTCTGTCTCTGTCTCTGTCTCTCTGTCTCTGCCTCTCTGTCTGTGTCTGTCTCTGTCTCTCTCTCTCTCTCTCTCTCTCTCTCTCTCTCTCTCTCTCTCTCTCTCTCTCTCTCTCTCTCTCTCTCTCTCTCTCTCTCTCTCTCTCACTCTCTCTCTCTCTCTCTCTCTCTCTCAATCTCTCTCTATCTCTCTCTCTCTCTCTCTCTCTCTCTCTCTCTCTCTCTCTCTCTCTCTCTCTCTCTCTCTCTCTCTCTCTCTCTCTCTCTCTCTCTCTCTCCGCCTGCAGCAATCCGTCACCCCACCATAGGAGTCACAGACGAGAACTTATCACCCTCGTATAATGCCAGTGTGGGCGTGGACATAATCCCCTACCCCAAGGGAGGGGGATGGCGAGGGGCGGCCAGATCCCACCCGCCCACCACAACGTCACGTGCGCCCATGTGGCCAACGCCCGTTCCTCTGCCCCACGCCCACACACGCCCAGCCCCACACATGCAGGTGGGTGTGGCCGGGGTGTCACTGGCAGACGCCCTCTCGATAGCTGGCTGGCGTTCGTTCCTTCACGGAGGCGCTGTTGAGGACGGGTGTACATCTCCTCATTCCTGACGCCACGTGTGTTGAAGCCAGATATGCGCATACATATATATACACCTCCCCCCCCCTTTATCCCACCTATACAACCCCGCTCCGTATACCCCATCCATATACTCCCTCCTCCGTACATATATATATATATATATATATATATATATATATATATATATATATATATATATATATATATATATATATATATATATATATATATATATATATACAGTATATACATATGTCGTACCTAGTAGCCAGAACGCCCTTCTCGGCCTACTATGCAAGGCCCGATTTGCCTAATAAGCCAAGTTTTCCTGAATTAATATATTTTCTCTAATTTTTTTCTCATGAAATGATAAAGCTACCCATTTCGTTATGTATGAGATCAATTTTTTTTTATTGGAGTTAAAATTAACGTAGATATATGACCGAACCTAACCAACCCTACCTAACCTAACCTAACCTAACCTATCTTTATAGATTAGGTTAGGTTAGGTAGCCGAAAAAGTTGGGTTAGGTTAGGTTAGGTAGTCGAAAAACAATTAATTCATGAAAACTTGGCTTATTAGGCAAATCGGGCCTTGCATTGTAGGCTGAGAAGTGCGTTCTGGCTACTAGGTACGACATATATATATATATATATATATATATATATATATATATATATATATATACCTCATCTCTTTCAAGAACTCGGTCAAAGGAGCCTTCTGGATCCTATATATTTTTTTTTTTTTTTTTTTTTTTTTTTTTTTTTTTTTTTTTTGAGATATATACAAGAGTTGTTACATTCTTGTACAGCCACTAGTACGCGTAGCGTTTCGGGCAAGTCCTTAATCCTATGGTCCCTGGAATACGATCCCCTGCCGCGAAGAATCGTTTTTTCATCCAAGTACACATTTTACTGTTGCGTTAAACAGAGGCTACAGTTAAGGAATTGCGCCCAGTAAATCCTCCCCGGCCAGGATACGAACCCATGACATAGCGCTCGCGGAACGCCAGGCGAGTGTCTTACCACTACACCACGGAGACTGTTCTATATAGCGTATGTGAGACCCATTGTTGAGTGTGCAGCCCTTGACACAGATCCCTCACCTGAGAAGGAACTCATCAAAACTGGTAGAAGTCATAAATTGGCATTAACTCGCCTCGTTCCCGAGTTTGAGGTACCCGAGCTGCTAAAAAAGATCGAGTCCTCACCACACTGGAGTGAAAGAATACCGGGAGACATGATAACGACATATAAGATACTAAAGGAAATTGACACAATATATATATAAATAAACAATATATATTTACAAATTTATATTTCAATATAAGACAGCAGAGAAGACAGTCATTCAACCCTTCAAACACGTGTAGGTGAGCACATGTAGGTGAGCGCTCACCTGGGCGGACTCAACAAGCAGTTAAGCCAGTACTTACCAACCTCTACCTCTCTTCTCGAACATTGTTTACATTTAGTAAACAGTTTACGCGTTCCGAAGCACCAGGCGGCTGTTTATACCCATAACAACATTCAGTTTGGAAGTTTTGATGCGCATAAATTGTCTAATAAATGTTAGCAAAGATTGAGAAAAGATGCAGAGTTTCGAAGTAACTTGCTTAAGGAATTAGAATTAGAATTAGAATGACCCTGCTTGATGGGTTCTGGCCAGGGGCGCCATGTTGAGTGCATATACTCACCTTCCTACACTCATCTATCTCTGCCTGAGAAGATTATGCTTCATCTGCAGGCGATGAGTCACAATAACGTGGCTGAAGTATGTTGACCAGACCACACACTAGAAGTTGAAGGGACGACGACGTTTCGGTCCGTCCTGGACCGTCGTCGTCCCTTCAACTTCTAGTGTGTGGTCTGGTCAACATTATGCTTCTTCTCTTGGGTCCCCCCCTGCCTCTCAACCTCCTGTTGACTTATGCGTTCCTAAACATCTTTTTTGGCAATGAGAAAATCGACTGGGTCTGTGAGGCGACTCGAACCCGGGACCAAGGCACTGCCAGTCGCATACTCTACCACCGAGCCAACGTTGACTGGCTAAAAGTTATACAACACGGAATTTTCTCACTGATGGGTATCACGTTAGTGGGTTTTTTTGAGTGTATCTTTTGGTAATCTTAAATGTGCATTTAAATCCACAGTGTGGAGTCTTGTCTCCACTACTCCATAGTGCATGGAGTCTGCCTCCACCCACTCTATAATTCGTGTATAGGGCCTACCCTGGAAACACAAACCGAAACTGTCTCTATTTTCCGCTTGTTACAACTTGTAGTAAAGTTGTTACATCTTGGTTTAAAGCGTTTATGACGTATTAGAACGTTTCTACAACTTGCTATATTGGTTGTTATAACTGGTTAGGTGTTAAAACTTGTTCGAACGTTGTACCAACGTTGTAGTTCCGGTGTGTGTTTGGCGGGGTACCTACACCACTTCACAATATATGGGGTCTGCCTCCAACCCCATCAACCCCGTCAACCCCGTCAACCACATTACCTTCTCCCCCCCCCCCCACCGCGCTGTCAATCAACTCAGTTTGTTCTGCCAGCCACGACGCCAGTAATCTCCTCCGTCAACTGCATAAAGTACCCCCGTCAACCACTCCAACGCCCACCTTTGTCAACCATTGATGCTTCCCTTCTAAGCCGCATCAATTCCCTCCCCCTCCCTCCTCTCCTCTCCCCCCCCCGCGTCAACCACATGTACCACCACATCAACCACTCTAAACGCTTCCTCTCAACCACATCAATTGGCCAGCCACGCCCTCGTCAGCCCTCGTTCCGCTCACTTGGTTGTTAAGGGACTCTGGTAGTTAGCTACAGTTTCCATTTTTTATATGCCAGTGGAGGAAGGGGAAGACTTATTTATTGTGAGAAACATTTTTTGGGGGGGCTCGGTATAGGTTAGTAGTGGTCAGTCGTGGCGAAGGTTCTTGTGCGGGTTCGAGCCCTCTCGTAGGCGTGGTGAGGAGTCATGAAGTATAGCCTCCTATGGGAGCCGGTCGGCCGAGCGGACAGCACGCTGGACTTGTGATCCTGTGATCCTGTGGTCCTGGGTTCGATCCCAGGCGCCGGCGAGAAACAATGGGCAGAGTTTCTTTCACCCTATGCCCCTGTTACCTAGCAGTAAATAGGTACCTGGGTGTTAGTCAGCTGTCACGGGCTGCTTCCCGGAGGTGGAGGCCTGGTCGAGGACCGGGCCGCGGGGACACTAAAGCCCCGAAATTATCTCAAGATAACCTTAAGATAACCTCCTCCCTAACGCCTTCCCTACCTCCCTATCCATCACCCCTTACCCACATCCTTGAAAGAAATCCTTACCCACATCCTCGGCATTCCAGAAAGTAGTTTGAATGTATCTATGGAAGGTTAACTAAGCTCTCCTAAGCTTAATTAGTCCTGTTAGACGAATATCTTATTAATGGCAATCCCATTTCTCTATTTCTCTCTCTCTCTCTCTCTCTCTCTCTCTCTCTCTCTCTCTCTCTCTCTCTCTCTCTCTCTCTCTCTCTCTCTCTCTCTCTCTCTCTCTCTCTCTCCTGTTCCATATTCTCTTACCCCCTTCCCCCCCCCCACCTCTCTCTTCATCCCCTCTTACTCTCCTTTTCACGTCTCTCTTCCTTTGATTCCCTCTTCACAATTCCTCTTTCCTTCCCTTCATCACCATCACCATAAATCACAATCCCCACATCATCACTAACATCACCATCATCAGCCTCACCCTCACCACACTCACCATCATACTAGCAGCCTTAAAGGTCTTTTTAACTTGTAAATCCAGACAGGTTTTCGACCTTTTGGCCTTCCCGTGCACCAACGACCGTTAGGGCTCAAATTGTATTGATTTTTATGGTGAAAAGTCAGGGAAAGAGAAGAAAGAAGGGAGAGAAAGAGAGAGAGAGAGAGAGAGAGAGAGAGAGAGAGAGGAGGAAATTATGGGCAAGGTAGTGGGTGGTGTGGGATGGGAGAGGAAAGAGAGAGAGAGTGGGGAAGGTAGTGGAAGAGACCAGAAGGGAGGGGGGAGGGGGGGGGGAGTGGAGAAGAATTGTCCGCCGCGTCACTGGTAACCGGTATCCGGCCCCAGTACGTCCGGTTTATCGCATTACGCACACCAATAAAATTATCTCTAATCCGGCCAACCTTGTCTGTCTATTGTCCATACTTTTATTGTTACTTTTGTTATTCCTCCTTTTATTGTTCATCATCGTGGTCGTCGTCATCATCGTGGTCGTCGTCATCATCGTGGTCGTCGTCATCATCATGGTCGTCGTCATCATCGTGGTCGTCGTCATCATCGTGGTCGTCGTCATCGTGGTCGTCGTCATCATCGTGGTCGTCGTCATCATGGTCGTCGTCATCATCGTGGTCGTCGTCATCATCGTGGTCGTCGTCATCATCATGGTCGTCGTCATCATGGTCGTCGTCATCATCGTGGTCGTCGTCATCATCGTGGTCGTCGTCATCATCGTGGTCGTCGTCATCATGGTCGTCGTCATCATCGTGGTCGTCGTCATCATCGTGGTCGTCGTCATCATCATGGTCGTCGTCATCATCGTGGTCGTCGTCATCATCGTGGTCGTCGTCATCATGGTCGTCGTCATCATCGTGGTCGTCATCATGGTCGTCGTCATCATGGTCGTCGTCATCATCGTGGTCGTCGTCATCATGGTCGTCGTCATCGTGGTCGTCGTCATCATGGTCGTCGTCATCGTGGTCGTCGTCATCGAGGTCGTCGTCATCATCGTGGTCGTCGTCATCATGGTCGTCGTCATCATCGTGGTCGTCGTCATCATCGTGGTCGTCGTCATCATGGTCGTCGTCATCGAGGTCGTCGTCATCATGGTCAATATCATCATGGTCGTCATTATGGTTATCATCATGGTCGTCGTCATCATGGTCGTCGTCATCATGATCGCCGTCATCATAGTCGTCATCATCATGGTCGTCGTCATCATAGTCGTCATACTTTCGGTTCACAGTATAATAATCCTCTTAAACCAAGTTATTTTTTAATTATCCTTAATACCTTGTGTGCATATATAGGAGGGGGGGGAGAGAAGTGGGGGTTGGGAAGGAAGGGGTGATGGGAAAGAAGGAGGGGGGGGGGAGGGAAAGGAGGGAGTAAATACGGGTTGATGGGATAGAGCCGGGTTGATGTGGCAGGGACTGGACAGGTTGCGATCCTGGGGTGAAATATTTGGTGGGGATTTGTCAAGCCAAGCTGAAGAATGGCTGCTTGATTATTTGATGTTATTTACAAGCTCCTCTCTCTCTCTCTCTCTCTCTCTCTCTCTCTCTCTCTCTCTCTCTCTCTCTCTCTCTCTCTCTCCTCTCTCTCTCTCTCTCTCTCTCTCTCTCTCTCTCTCTCTCTCTCTCTCTCTCTCTCTCTCTCTCTCTCTCTCTCTCTCTCTCTCTCTCTCACTCTTTCTCTCTGTCGCTCAATCTCTCTCTTTCTCTCTCTCTGTCTCTCTGTCTGTCTCTCTCTCTGTCTCTCTGTCTGTCTGTCTGTCTCTCTCTCTCTCTCTCTCTCTCTCTCTCTCTCTCTCTCTCTCTCTCTCTCTCTCTCTCTCTCTCTCTCTCTCTCTCTCTCTCTCGTAAATTATAACACTATATTTGAGTTAAAGTTATAATATTATCGTAGCAACTATTGCAATACTGTTTGAACAACTTAGTCATGGAGCACGAGTTGCTCAAGTTGAGTGATTAATGACTTCAAGTTGGTGTGATCAAGACTGTTGTGTGTGGAAGCCTCTAGTCACCTTAAAGACCTTGGTGATTTTTTTTTATTAGGGGGGGGAGAGAGTTAGGCCTACCCAATTGTCCACGGATCCGGTATCTGAAATGTCATGACGGGTTTCCGTAGAGTTATGACCCACAACTCTAACAGAGTGCAGGTGCAGGTCACGAAATTCACTCAAGATTTCTGGCTGTTTATCACTCGTTTAAAGACGGAGGGGAAACACAGGTAGTTATTGATCATTAGGAAGTCAGTGACACCCTTGTGTTACCTTAAGTTCTTTCTCTGCTTCTTTCTTCATCTTTCCTGGTGAGTATATTTATCTTAATTACTTTGTCTAGTGTTTCCACCCCTGTCTCTTCCTTCTTTTCTATCTCATTTGTCTCTTCATCTCCACACATATATATATTATATAATATATATATATATATATATATATATATATATATATATATATATATATATATATATATATATATATATATATATATATGTCGTACCTAGTAGCCAGAATGCAGTTCTCGGCCTACTATACAAGGCCCGATTTGCCTAATAAGCCTAGTTTTCCTGAATTAATATATTTTCTCTATTTTTTTTCTTATGAAATGATAAAGCTACCCATTTCATTACGTATGAGGTCAATTTTTTTTATTGGAGTTAAAATTAACGTAGATATATGACCGAACCTAACCAACCCTACCTAACCTAACCTAACCTATCTTTATAGGTTAGGTTAGGTTAGGTAGCCAAAAAAGTTAGGTTAGGTTAGGTTAGGTAGGTTAGGTAGTCGAAAAACAATTAATTCATGAAAACTTGGCTTATTAGGCAAATTGGGCCTTGCATAGTAGGCTGAGAAGTGCATTCTGGCTACTAGGTACGACATATATATATATATATATATATATATATATATATATATATATATATATATATATATATATATATATATATAGACAATGTCAGACCACGAAGGAAAAATGAAACAGGAAATTTCCTTAAGTACTTTCGTATATTAAATACATCTTCAGAAGGTCTCCTGTTTTTTTCCTTCAGGAGAAATTTCCTTCTCCTGAAGGAAATTTCCTGTTTCATTTTTCCTTCGTGGTCTGACATTGTCACATTCTTAATCACGTGTTTATTTTCGTGATATACACACATATATTATATATATATATATATATATATATATATATATATATATAATATATATATATATATATATATATATATATATATATATATATATATATATGTCGTACCTAATAGCCAGAACGCACTTCTCAGCCTACTATTCAAGGCCCGATTTGCCTAATAAGCCAAGTTTTCATGAATTAATGTTTTTTCGTCTACCTAACCTACCTAACCTAACCTAACTAGCTTTTTTTGGCTACCTAACCTAACCTTACCTATAAATATAGGTTAGGTTAGGTTAGGTAGGGTTGGTTAGGTTCGGTCATATATCTACGTTAATTTTTACTCCAATAAAAAAAAATTGACCTCATACATAGAGAAAAGGGTTGCTTTATCATTTCATAAGAAAAAAATTATAGTAAATATATTAATTCAGGAAAACTTGGCTTATTAGGCAAATCGGGCCTTGAATAGTAGGCTGAGAAGTGAGTTCTGGCTACTAGGTACGACATATATATATATATATATATATATATATATATATATATATATATATATAATCACAGGGAAATAGTTAGAATGACATGACACTTTAACCTCTCACATCTGCTCACCTCAACCTTGTCTACCTCTCTGATATCCCCTACTGCTCCTTTCCCACTCATCTCTCCCTTCCCCGTACTCTCCCTATTCCTCTGATCTCCCTCTCACTTCCCCTCCCACCCCGTACTTTCCCTTTCCCTCACCCCCTCTCCCCTCCCCCCAGAGTACCAACCCTCCCGCCCCCACAAACACACAAAAAGCAACGTCTCCCGCATTTCTCCCGCGATCACCGAAGGGTTTTCCGCGACTAACCGAAGTTCGCAAACAAGTTGTGACGAAAATTCCGGGCGCGCTGGGGCATTGACGGCAAGAATGTATGCGACCCGGAGATAAGCTTTCAATATGTCGGCGCGTCACGACTCGTCCGCGCGCGCCCCGCGGCACTGGCTTTAGCGTCTCAACTGACTACTGTGCGTGTCTGTGGGAGGGAGGAAGGAGTGAGGGGGGGAGGGTGATGCCGGTTAGATGCATTCGTATTCTACTTGGCTGTACACTCACATAATCCATTGAATACCACAGGTTTCTTGAAGAGAAAGAAAAATACAAGAGCATTACCCTTCTGTACAATCGTCTGTTCACAGTTACAATTATATCCAGCTTGTGTAATTTGCATATTCAAATTTCTAATCTAATTTCGGCGGTTCCTAAAAAATCACTCTAGAAAAAAATATATTGTGGTGAAGCTCATCAACTCCTAAGACTGGGAATGGTATAGGGAGCTGCAGTCTCCTGTGGATTGAAGCCAGGGTCGCAGGCGTGGGTGGGGAGGCGGGCAGGGAGGAGCAGCAAAGTGTCGTATAATGGCTAAAGGTAGGACACGTGTTGGCGCTGATTGGTCGCCGGTCCCATGCGAACTACCATTATGCGCGCCTAACCATGGGGAACGAGCCTGCCTCGACCCGCGCCGCCCCTGCTGTCAAATGGATGTTGTTTGTGCTGCGTTAATTGAATTTAGAGTCGATGTTGTCCTGTGTGTGTGTGATTGCAGGTAGAGTTTCAGCTCCTGGGCCAAGCCTTTCAGTTGCCTCCTAACTTGCCTGTTGCATAGTTTCCATCCTCTTGCCTCTGATCACACTACTTCTCTTGCACCTCTCTTTCCCTTTTACATCATTCCATCTGCTGATTACTTTTGTTCTATATAAAAAATATATTTTTACATCCCTATGGCTCAATAAGGATCTTGTATGCCACTTTTCTAGCACAAAACAATGCTGATTGTCTCGTGAAAGTCCAGTGGTATGCCACCATCCTGGTGCTAGAACTGTGAGGCATGAGTTACAAGTAAAGACTAAAGGAATTATACCCTCACGTCACTGGACGATAGAAAGAGCAAGATACTCTTCTGATGCAGCTGAGTAGGCTTCGTGATCTGTACACCAGCTGAATTAAGGTTGAGAGACAGTATACAGTAACTAAAACTCGAACCTAAACTAACATTACTAATTCAATAATTTATGTTTGTATTATAATATAATAATTATATTTAAACTAAACCAATTGGAAAATTGTTGTTTTCCAATTGATGGAACTCGACTCCTGCAAGATTTGAACCCAAAATTAATGAACAGTAGAAGGCTTGGGACTGTACCCATTAATGTGGTAGAATTATAGATGAATCTGAACCAGTTTGACTCTCTCAATTGTCAGTGGTCGTAGCACTGACAATTAAGAAAGTATTACTAATGTGAAAAATAATAACTAATATTAATTACTAATTACTGGTTTCCTACTTCGTCTAACTTGCCATTCGTTCTGCGACTGTGAATCTAAACACAACACAGTGAGGAGGAGGAGTTTCCAGGACTCCGAGCTGGAGACTAAAGAACACATTGACTCGGGGCAGGTGTAAGAAAGTGTAATAAGTATTGGAGCACCTGCGGCCTTCCCTGCTGGGTGGTGTGTGTGGGTGGGGGTGGGGGGGGGGGGGTGTGGGGTGGGGGAGTGTGTGGGTGGGGGAGTTTGTGGGTGTGGGCAGGGCAGGGTGAGAGGGTAATATGTGTTAAGTGGATGAACTGCGCTGGTAGTAGGTTTGATTATATATAAATAAAATATATATATATATATATATATTTATATATTATATATCTACAATTACTTCCATTCAATACCCATTGTTTCGTGTTCTGTCTTGTGTTAGAATTTAATACCCATTTAATACCATTGTTGAAAGTTCGTTTTCACCTCATCCACCTCACCAAATGTAGATATAAACTCGAAGATGTGTAAGCTCTATTCAGTTTCAGTTGTGTGTTTGTAAACTAAAGTCTTTGAAAATGTAATAAGTTTTACAAAACGCGCTCAAGTGTCGCGTCAGACTAGAAATAAAAATGAATTTTTTGGAGAATTGATCTTTGAATTACCATCAACAGTGAAAAGAAACGTAAGAAGAAAGATCGAGGAGAAATTCGTGTTAGAATTATTAATCTTACTTTTCGGTCATATTTAATAATATATGTCTACAGGAAAGACTGCTACCAAAATATACTAATATATATATATATATATATATATATATATATATATATATATATATATATATATTATATATATATATATATATATATATATATATATATATATATATAATTATTTATTAAAAGAACCAACGCACCAGCTCGTTGTTTTCCCGCCAATATGTTACAAGAAGAAGACACCAGCTGGGAAGGTCGGCGGGGCCTCACACGCCGCGCCATTTTCTCTCTTCTCGCCCCTTTCTATAAGAACTATTTTTCTCAACTCTCTCCATTATGATCTTTCCAGAACATTTTTCACCTGTATCGCCATGTTTAGAACTTTTTTAATGTTAATGTTTTTCTGGGGAAGGGGGGAAGGGGGGAAGGTGGGCGGTTAGGAAGGTAGAGAATTATATTGAGTGCGAATCGTAAGTTAGGCTGCAAGCTAAGTATTGTTTAAGGTAAAGCGATGTCTTAAGCACACAGAGATCACACTAACGTGATGCATCAAATAAACAAATCCACAAGGGCCGTGACGAGGATTCGAACCTGCGTCCGGGAGCATCCCAGACACTGCCTTAATCGACTGAGCTAACCCTGTCGTAGACCAGTCGATTAAGGCAGTGTCTGGGATGCTCCCGGACGCAGGTTCGAATCCTCGTAACGGCCCTTGTGGATTTGTTCATTGGACTATTCTTCTAAATTCTTTTAGTAGCCTTATGGTAAACCTCTGTCTGTACTCGCTAATGTTTTTATCTTGCGTTTAATTAGAGAAAGGTTCCATGCTGATACTACTTATCTCTAGTCTTACGAAGGTGATGCTCAGTGTTTTAATATTTTTTTAATATAGTTCTTCTGTTTTCCAGCTTTGCATACTCCGCTGATGTTATAATATTAATATGTGGCTTAGTGCAGTGTATAAAAGGCCAAACATTGTCGCTGCGTCTTCTCTAAATGGTCTCACAGAGGTGATGTAGTAGGCATCCATCAGTCACAGGAGACTATGGAGTTGCGCTCTGGCGTACGGGCCAGATTCACGAAAGAACTTACGCAAGTACTTACGAACGTGTACATCTTTCCTCAATTTTTGACGGCTTTGGTTACATTTATTAAACAGTTTACAATCATGAAAACTTCCCATTCAACTGTTGTTATTGTTCTAAATAGCCTCCTGGTGCTTCGGAGCTCATTAACTGTTTAATAATTGTAAACAAAGCCGCCAAAGATTGAGAAAAGATGTACAGGTTCGTAGGTGTTTGCGTAAGTGCTTTCGTGAATCTGAAGGAGGTCTTCACTCGTCTCCTGGCGCAGTGTGGGAAAGTGGGGTGGTCCACACTTCCCTGGAAATAAACATTCCATTCAACTGGGCTCTAGGAGACTCGAACCCCGGACCCCACGCGTGTGGGGCCGACGTGAGACATATGACGTGGATCACTAACTCCTCGTAGCTTTAGCACCTTGCCTCTACTGGGCAGCTGCGGACCTGTTCTACGGGTGGATATTCCGGTCTCCGGCCGCTGCTGTCCGGCCGGAGGGGTGCGCTGGATGGAGATTTATCCGGAGCTTGATTAGCTCAGTTAACTTACGGGTTATTCATGCCCGTGCCACCTCTTGGGTGGCTTAAGCTTCATCAGTCAATCAGCTCAGTTAAATGCCGGTGTGGCTTGGGAGGGCGGTGCCCGGTGCTGGAGCCTGATGGGCGTGGCAGTCCCGTTGGTGCCATGGTGGAGAGTGGGCGTGTGGTGCCGGCGTCAGGCGCGGGGGTGGAGGGCGTGGTGGGGGGCGCAGTGCCTGGAGTGGCGGAGGAGGAGTGGGATGTGCTGCAGGTGGAGGTGGTTGTTGTGGATCCTCTGGGGGGGCTCTACCGGTAGAGCGACGTTCTCGCTTCATGCAGGTCGGCGTTCAATCCCCCGACCGTCCAAGTGGTTGGGCGCCATTCCTTCCCTGTGTCCCATCCCTAATCCTTATCCTGATCCCTTCCAAGTGCTATATAGTCGCAATGGCTTGACGTCTTCTCCTGATAGTCCCCTCCCAACCTCCCATGGGTTGGTTCTCCTGTTAAAATGAAGGTATCATGAAGCCTCTGGGAACCTGTACAAAATTCGTTTGATAGTTTTAGGAGCTGGACCCTTGAGAGTTAAAGTTTAAACCAGGGTAAGCATAACTGGCTACGAGAGTGCAACAAGGTGATTACACACACACACACACACACACACACACACACACACACACACACACACACACACACACACACACACACACACACACACACACACACACACACACACATCCAAGTGTGTGTGTGGCGTAATTCTGTGGCGCGGGTTCGATTCCCGCACGAGGCAGAAACAAATGGGCAAAGTTTCTTTCACCCTAAGTGCCCCTGTTACCTAGCAGTAAATAGGTACCTGGGAGTTAGTCAGCTGTCACGGGCTGCTTCCTGGGGTGTGTGTGTGGTGTGAGAAAAAAAAAAAAAAAAAAAAAAAAAGTAGTTAGTAACAGTTGATTGACAGTTGAGAGGCGGGCCGAAAGAGCAAAGCTCAACCCCCGCAAAAAACACAACTAGTAAACACACACACACACACACACACACACACACACACACACACACACACACACACACACACCACACACACACACACACACACACACATGGATTTTGTCACCCAGAAGTGCCAGGAAGCTGCACACAGATTTATCCCCCGTCCAAAAGGAGAGAAACGAAAAACAACAGAAAAACCCATGGTTCAACCAGGCATGCAAGGTAGCGAAGCAACTGAGTAAAAGAACATGTAGAAACTACAGAAATAACAGAACACCGCAGAGCAGGGAGAGATACCAGAGGGCCAGAAATGAGTACCTCAGAGTGAGGAGGGAAGCAGAGAGACAGTATGAAAATGACATCGCGAGTAAAGCCAAGACCCAACCAAAGCTGCTCCACAGCCACATCAGGAGGAAAACAGCAGTGAAGGAACAAGTCATGAAACTGAGAAAAGGGGAGAACAGATACACAGAGAATGACAAGGAGGTGTGTGAAGAACTCAACAAGAGATTACGGGAGGTCTTCACAATAGAACAAGGAGGAACCCCTGCACTAAATGAGGAGGAGGCAAACCAAGCAACCATGGAGGAATTTGACCTCAGCACTGATGAGGTCAAAAGGTGTCTGCTGGAGCTGGATGTGACAAAGGCTGTTGGGCCTGACAGAATCTCACCATGGATACTAAAGGAAGGTGCAGAAGCACTAAGTGTGCCCCACTCTATGGTGTATAACAAGTCACTGGAAACAGGAGACTTACCAGAAAGTTGGAAGACAGCTAACGTAGTCCCAATATACAAGAAGGATGACAGGCAAGAGGCACTGAACTATAGGCCAGTTTCCCTAACTTGTATACCATGCAAGGTGCTGGAAAAGATCGTGAGGAAAAGGCTCGTAGGGCATCTGGAGGGAAATAACTTTGTAACGCACCACCAACATGGGTTCAGGGATGGTAAATCGTGCCTCACAGGTTTAACAGAATTCTATGACCAGGTAACAAAAATTAGGCAGCAAAGAGAAGGGTGGCCAACTGCATTTTCTTGGACTGCCAGAAAGCCTTTGACACAGTACCCCATAAAAGGCTGTTAAAAAAGTTGTAGCAACAGGCAGGAGTAAAAGGGAAGGTGCTCCAGTGGATAAGGGAAACAGCAAGCAACAGGAAACAGCAAGTAACGGTGAGGGGGGGGGGGGAGACATCAGAGTGGCGAGATGTCACCAGCGGAGTTCCACAGGGCTCAGTACTTGGACCCATCCTGTTTCTAATATATGTAAACGATCTTCCGGAGGCTATAGACTCGTTCCTCTCAATGTTTACTGATGATGCAAAAATTATGAGAAGAATCAAGACGGATGAAGATAGACAGAGACTACAGGATGACCTGGACAAACTGGAGGAATGGTCTAGAAAATGGCTGTAAAGTTCAACACAGGAAAGTGTAAGGTAATGAAACTAGGCGAAGGGAGCAGGAGGCTGAACACAAGGTATCATCTGGGAAATGAAATCCTGCAAGAGTCAAATAGAGAGAAAGATCTGGGGGTTGATATCACACCGAACCTGTCCCCAGAGGCCCACATCAAAAGAATATCATCAGCGGCATATGCTAGACTGGCCAATATAAGAACTGCCTTTAGAAACTTGTGTAAGGAATCGTTCAGGACCCTGTATACCACTTATGTAAGACCTATCCTGGAGTATGCAGCTCCAGCCTGGAGTCCATACCTAGTTAAACACAAGTCAAAGTTAGAGAAGATTCGGCGGTATGCCACCAGGCTCGTCCCGGAACTGAGAGGAATGAGCTACGAGGAAAGGCTAAAGGAGCTGAACCTCACATCCCTGGAAAACAGAAGAGTAAGGGGAGACATGATAACCACCTACAAAATTCTCAGGGGAATTGACAGGGTGGACAACGACAAACTCTTCAGCACGGGTGGGACACGAACAAGGGGACACAGGTGGAAACTTAGTACCCAGATGAGCCACAGAGACGTTAGAAAGAATTTTTTCAGTGTCAGAGTAGTTAATAAATGGAATGCACTAGAAAGTGATGTGGTGGAGGCTGACTCCATACACAGTTTCAAATGTAGATATGATAGAGCCCAGTATAGGCTCAGGAATCTGTACATGAGTTGATTGACAGTTGAGAGGCGGGACCAAAGAGCCAGAGCTGAACCCCCGCAAGCACAATTACGTGAGTACAATTAGGTGAGTACACACACACACACACACACACACACACACACACACACACACACACACACACACACACACACACACACACACACACACACACACAAAACCTAACTCCCCCCCCCCCCACCTTTCCCCAAGATTTCACGGACCATTGCACAGGGTATGTTACGGTCGTTCGCCAATTACCGACAGTGTGAATCAGCCACAGACATCGTTGCCATGATTAAACGGACGCCCGCTAGAGGGCCCGCCACCAAGATGAACGCCCCGCTACCCATTTTCTATTCATTTTTCATTCTTGAGCTTGTGGAAGTGAAGGGTGTGAGTAATCATACGGAGAGGGGGAGGGAGGGAGGGAGGGGCGGGGAGATGGGAAGGGGGTGGGAGGGAGGAGAGGAGAGGAGAGGAGAGGAGACGAGTGAAGATAGTAATAGAAGGAGCCGAGGAGAAAGCTGTAATACGTATAGCAATGGAATGGGGGGGGGGTGGAAAAGGGAAGATGAGAAGGGGAATGGGGGGGGTGGAAAAGGGAAGATGAGAAGGGGAAGGGGGGGGGGGGGGTAATAGGTGGGAAGGGAAAGTGGGTGGTGAGAGGGGGGTGAGAGAAATGGTAGAAGGGAAAGGAGGCTCGTAGAAGGGGGGCAAGCATTGAATAGGTTGATGATGGGTGATAAAGATGCAGAAGGGAAAGGAAGAGGGCTGGCAAGAACAGAGTGAAAGGGAGAGGGGTGAAAGCGAAGGCGTAGTGAGGATAGGAGGAAAGGTGGAACAGAAAGGGAATGACACAAGGAGGGTGAGAGGGCTGAAAGAGAGGGGGAAATAGGTCGATAGAGAGGGGAGAGAGAAAGTGAAGGCGTAAAAAAAAGAATTGCAGAGATGAGAGAGAGAGAGAGAGAGAGAGAGAGAGAGAGAGAGAGAGAGAGAGAGAGAGAGAGAGAGGAGCGCGAGAGAGAGAGAGGGAGAGACGAGAGAGAGATGAGAGAGGAGAGAGAGAGAGAGAGAGAGAGAGAGAGAGAGAGAGAGTGAGTGAGTGAGGGGAAGAGAGAGAGAGAGAGTGAGTGAGGGGAAGAGAGAGACAGAGACAGAGACAGACAGACAGACAGAGAGCACATGAGCGTGTATGCGTGTGCGTGCGCGCGTGCGTGTGCGTGTGAACGTCCACCCCCCCACTTAAGCGAGGCCATAAACGCAAGAGAGTTCAGCACCATCACACCAGAAAAAATGTTTCCACAATGAAATTAAAAGACGAGAGTATGGGCGAGGCGCCGCGTGCCGGCCCCTGGGGGCGGCGACGACCACCCGGCGCCTCACTCCCACCAGTCCTGGGCCACGCCCCTTCCATCCTTGGCCACGCCCCTTCCAGCCTGGCCACGCCCCTTCCAGCCTGGCCACGCCCCTTCCAGCCTGGCCACGCCCCTTCCAGCCTGGCCACGCCCCTTCCAGCCTGGCCACGCCCCTTCCAGCCTTGGCCACGCCCCTTCCAGCCTGACCACGCCCCTTCCAGCCTTGGCCACGCCCCTTCCAGCCTGGCCACGCCCCTTCCAGCCTGGCCACGCCCCTTCCAGCCTGGCCACGCCCCTTCCAACCTTGGCCACGCCCCTTCCAGCCTGACCACGCCCCTTCCAGCCTTGGCCACGCCCCTTCCAGCCTGACCACGCCCCTTCCAACCTGGCCACGCCCCTTCCAGCCTTGGCCACGCCCACCCTCCAGCTTGGCCACGCCCACCCTCCAGTTTGGCTACGCCCACCCTCCAGTTTGGCCACGCCCACCCTCCAGCTTGGCCACGCCCACCCTCCAGCTTGGCCACGCCCACCCTCCAGCTTGACCACGCCCACCCTCCAGCTTGACCACACCCACCGTGCAGGGGAGCGGCCGTCAACACGACACCCAACAACTGACATAGAAGGAATATTATACAGTAAATGACAGAAGGAAGATAGGAACCACAATGGATGAGTCAGGCTGGAGCCTACGGAGGTGCCAGTGGGAACAGAGGGCACTTCATACCCACTAATCAGCCCCCTTGACAAACCCTCCCCCAGCGAGCCTGTCGTCTACTTGGATAGGTCGGTAGAGCAACGGCCTCGCTTCTTGCAGGGACGGCGTTCGATCCCCGGTGGTGGAGGTGGTTGGGCAACGTTCCTTCACCTTGTCTGCATATCCCAGCTCCTTGTCTCCTCCGTCTAGGTAGTGTTACTCCCCGTCTATACCTCCGTCTAGGTAGTGAGGTCCATCTTGCTGCTTATCATAGCGAAGTGTTCGACCAACCTGTTCCAGAATGAGGGAGGGAGAATGGGATGGACGGAGAGGCAGAATGACGATGGGAGTCTGGGATGGATTATGTGATAAAGTGGAAGAAATAAACAATGATCGTGACAGGAAAAAAAGGGGAAAAAGAGAGAATGGGAATGAGAACTCGGTGCATAAAAAGAGAAAGTGGAAGAGGAGAAGGTAGAGGAGGAGGAAGAAGAAGAGGAGGAGAGGCAAAATGGAACCTTCAATATTTTGTGGTTCAATAAATAATGTCGTAAATTATGCCCAGACTTCTTCTTTTGTCCTCCAGCGCTGGAGATGATGGAGATGGAAGTGGGGGAGGGGCGGGGGCGGGGCGAGGAGGGGGGGGGGGAGGGGGTGATGATGGTGATGATGATGGTGGTGGTGGTGATAGTGGGGGCTGGGCAAGCGGATGCAAATGGTGGCTGGGGCTGACATAGATGCATCGCATCTACACTCCTCTCTCTCTCTCTCTCTCTCTCTCTCTCTTCTCTCTCTCTCTCTCTCTCTCTCTCCTCTCTCTCTCTCTCTCTCTCTCTCTCTCTCTCTCCCCTCTCTCTCTCTCTCTCTCTCTCTCTCTCTCAGCTCTCTCTCTCTCTCTCTCTCTCTCTCTCTCTCTCTCTCTCTCTCTCTCTCTCTCTCCTCGGCACCAGCAGGTGGGGGAGGAAGGGGGGGGGAGCAGGAGGAGGAATGGGAAGGGGGTTGTAGGACTGAGGGCAGAAAAATAATGAGGAGGGAAACGGGCAAAGGAAGAGAAGTGTGATGGGTCATGGAGGAATATGGAAAGGGGAGTTATAGGAGGAGGAAGAAGAGGGGAGGGGGTGAGAAGACGAGGAAAGAGTGGAAGAGGAGGAAGAAAGGGAATGGGGAGGAAAGGGGGAGAGGAGACAACGTGGATGAGACCTCTCCACTCTTCACCGGAAGGGTGAAGAGAAAGAAGGGAAGAGGAGAGTACGAGGAGGAATTGTAGAGAAAGATCCGTAAGACAGAAAATATGGAAAGAAAGGAGAAGTACCAGGTGGAACAGGACAAAGAGGAGGAGTGAAAGAGAAGGCAGGCGGTGGAGAAAGAGTGAGGACGGAAGAGGAATAACAGGAGAACGCTGAAGAAGTGATTAATAGATAAATGAAGCGAAGGAGGCATAGAAGAAGCCAGTAGAGGAAGGGAGAAGGAAGGAGGAGAAGCAGATGAGGAAGGAAGAGGAGCAGGAGGACGAGGAGGACACGTTACTGCTAATGCTCTGAATACTACAACACCTTCTCCTCTTCCTTCTCCTCTTCCTTCTCCTCCCCTCTCACCTTCATTTTCCTTCACTCTCCTCTTCATTCTCATCCTCCTCGTTCTCTCCCATTCTCTTCCTCTTCCTCTTCCTTCTCTCCTTCAAAGGAAGTTGTTTACCGTCGCACCAAACACGAAGTCACGTTCCACCTGTACGACGCTTGGACCTGTGGAGGTGGACCTGTGGAGGTGGACCTGTGGAGGTGGACCTGTGGAGGTGGACCTGTGGAGGTGGACCTGTGGAGGTGGACCTGTGGAGGTGGACCTGTGGAGGTGGACCTGTGGAGGTGGACCTGTTGAGGGGGACCCGTGGAGGGGGACCTGTGGAGGTGGACCTGTTGAGGTGGACCCGTGGAGGGGGACCTGTGGAGGTGGACCTGTGGAGGTGGACCTGTGGAGGAGGACCTGTTGAGGGGGACCCGTGGAGGGGGACCTGTTGAGGTGGACCCGTGGAGGGGGACCTGTTGAGGTGGACCTGTGGAGGGGGACCTGTGGAGGTGGACCTGTGGAGGTGGACCTGTTGAGGTGGACCCGTGGAGGGGGACCTGTGGAGGTGGAACTGTGGAAGGGGGGACCTGTGGAGGGGGACCTGTGGAGGTGGACCTGTGGAGGGGGACCTGTGGAGGGGGACCTGTGGAGGTGGACCTGTAGAGGTGGACCTGTGGAGGGGGGACCTGTGGAGGGGGACCTGTGGAGGGGGGACCTGTGGAGGTGGACCTGTGGAGGGGGACCTGTGGAGGTGGAACTGTGGAAGGGGGACCTGTGGAGGGGGACCTGTGGAGGTGGACCTGTGGAGGGGGACCTGTGGAGGGGGACCTGTGGAGGTGGACCTGTAGAGGTGGACCTGTGGAGGGGGACCTGTGGAGGGGGACCTGTGGAGGGGGGACCTGTGGAGGTGGACCTGTGGAGGAGGACCTGTGGAGGGGGACCTGTGGAGGGGGACCTGTGGAGGGGGGACCTGTGGAGGTGGACCTGTGGAGGAGGACCTGTGGAGGTGGACCTGTGGAGGGAGACCTGTGGAGGGGGGGACCTGTGGAGGTGGAACTGTGGAGGTGGACCTGTGGAGGGGGACCTGTGGAGGAGGACCTGTGGAGGTGGACCTGTGGAGGGGAACCTGTGGAGGGGGGACCTGTGAAGGTGGACCTGTGGAGGGGGGACCTGTGGAGGTGGAACTGTGGAGGTGGACCTGTGGAAGGGGACCTGTGGAGGAGGACCTGTGGAGGTGGACCTGTGGAGGGGGACCTGTGGAGGTGGACTTGTGGAGGGGGACCTGTGGAGGGGGACCTGTGGAGGGGGACCTATGGAAGGGGACCTGTGGAGGTGGACCTGTGGAGGTAGACCTGTGGAGTTGGACCTGTGGAGGTGGACCTGTGGAGGGAGATCTGTGGAGGTAAACCTGTGGAGGGGGACCTGTGGAGGGGGACCTGTGGAGGGGGACCTATGGAAGGGGACCTGTGGAGGTGGACCTGTGGAGGTAGACCTGTGGAGGTGGACCTGTGGAGGGAGACCTGTGGAGGTAAACCTGTGGAGGGGGATCTGTGGAGGGGGACCTGTGGAGGGGGACCTGTGGAGGTGGACCTGTGGAGGGGGACCTGTGGAGGTGGACCTGTGGAGGGGGACCTGTGGAGGTGGACCTGTGGAGGGGGACCTGTGGAGGGGGACCTGTGGAGGTGGACCTGTGGAGGGGGACCTGTGGAGGGGGACCTGTGGAGGTGGACCTGTGGAGGGGGACCTGTGGAGGTGGACCTGTGGAGGGGGACCTGTGGAGGTGGACCTTCTGACCTAACACCCGAGTCTCCTGACCTTACAGCTAAGCCGCCTGACCTCCCATAGCTCCTGGTCCCTGGAAATTATTCTACCAGAATGGCTTCGTAATATTCATTGTGGTGCTGTGTGTCAGTTACAGTGTGTCTCTCAATGCTCACTGCATCTTGCAGGGTCAGTGCTCGATCCCCGATGGTCCAAGTGGTTGAGCAGTGTTCCTGCTCTCCCCCTTCTTATATCCCAGCCTCTTATCCGAATATCTCTTCCTCAGTTTTAGGTAAGCTGTCTTAGCGGTATATTCTGATAATTATTCTTTCGCTCATCCAAGAATTAAACACCGAACTTCTCTTTTATCAACTCGTATTGTTGTTGTTTTAGATGCAGCAACTCGGAAAACCAAGTTCCAGGTAGCACGGGCTATGGTGAGCCCGCAGTGGCCTTACCTGGCACAGGAGCGGGGCTGTAAGTTAGTCAGTCCTTAGCACGACTCTTCTCTTATCAATCCCAGAGCCATCTAGTGGGGTGGAATATCACTACAGGTTCTTACCAAAATGTTTGATTTCTAAGTCTTACTCGAACTGTTTGTTGAGTTCTGTCTTGGCCTCCGACCTGTCTTGGTCCTTCTCTAAGATCACGCTCTCTTCGGTGGACATCTGTGTCTTCTCAGTGGCCTCTTCTGTAGAAGATAGTTAATGTTTGTGCTTGCTGTTTCCTCTCACACTTCTCACGTAGATAGTATCCACTCACGCCCACCCACTCACGCCCACCCAGTAGCCAGCACCCATTCACGCCCACCCAGTAGCCAGCACCCACTCACGCCCACCCAGTAGCCAGCACCCACTCACGCCCACCTGGTAGCCAGCAGCCACTCACGCCCACCCAGTAGCCAGCACCCACCCTACACACCAACTCTTCGGTTAAGTGCCACTCAAGAGGGTCATTTTTCGAATCGTGTGGCGCAAGTCGCTGAAGGTTGAGGTGAGGGACGACGAGGGGGGGGGGGGGGGGGGGTGGGGGGGGTGAGGAGTGGTTTACGGCTCCATAATATATACCAGTGAGGGGTGTGCGGTGAGGGGAAGGGGCGTGAGGGGGTACGAGGGGAGGGGTACTCTAGTCCCACTGATGTCTTCATCCTCATCACCAGGTTTTTAAGGTCTCAACACCATCAAGGGTTCCTGGAGGGCAGTATAGACACCGAAGGTTCCAGCTGGTGTTGAAGATCAGGCTAATTCACTCCCTTCCTTCCTGTCGGATTAGATATTCCAGGGGACGCCAGTTTTCTTGAAATGGTAAGGAAAGCGTAGGAAAGGTATTCGTGCTCCTTGTCTCTTCGGGA